AACATCATAATAATAGACATAGTATGGACTCAAAATATTCAGACGAATTGAGAACCTCTTCCTTTAGAAGTCCCTTATAATATGTTATCCTAACAAAAATGGTGTGAAAAATATGTTTTTGTATGATCAACAAGAAAATAAAAGAGAAATATATATCATATATAACGGAACCCTAAACGTCTCTTTTCCTCTGAAAGTTTTATATTTCTACTCATTTTACTAAAAAATTCCCATGAGAATAGAGAGATTGATTACGTTGGATTAATTAAAAAAAAAAAGACTTATTATAACATATTTCTTTTATTTATTTATTATCATATAGGTACATAATTTTAATGACGAATTCGTATCAAACTGCAGTAATAATAGTTATAATGAACATACATAATTAAAAGCAGGAAGCTAAGATCACAGAGGTCACAAAATTTTACAGGATATGTTTAATGACAAACTGTTTCGCTATTGATTGTGTTACTTGCATGTATTTAGTTATTAATATTTATACCTATATAGATAAAAATGAATTCACTACAAATTAACCAAGAGATAGTAGATAATAATTATTTACTCAGCTCTGCGCTGTGACTTTAAATAATGAGCATTCTATTCCAATTTCAAATATTAAAAAATATAGAATGACGTCATTATCTACTACGAGACAGGATGACGTGTTGTGTTACTTACAAGTCAGTAGTATTTTTTTTAAATTGATCTATATTAAAAGTACCCTTGATTTAAATAATTAACACCTTAGACACAATTAAAATCAGTCAAAACTGTTGCGATTGGCTTAATTGTGTAGCTATCTTCAGGTTTCTAGCGATACAGGGATAGATTTCATTAATTCAAACAGTAAACCAATTTTATAAGTCAATAAATTTTCAAATTAATAGGTATTTATGGGGGGAAAATAAAACACCATTCTCTTCTATCATTTTCCACTAATTCAAAGTATACCAATATTAAAGGCAAGCAAAGTGGTCCATTATGCCCAATTCATTAGACTACGATGATTTCTAGGGAGGACCACGAGGAGGTTAACTTTATAGGGCATATTGTTAGTAGTGGGGACACTATTCCCTTTTATTAAGACTCCGTTCCCCCAGTAGCTATGACAGACACGCTTTAATGGTTATAGGTACAAAGGACTGTAGTAAACAGTTTCATTTCCAGGGAACATTCACGTAATGGTGATGGGTTCTCTCAGTAAAGACTTATTCCGATTCCCGCAAGCTTGTGTGTGCAACATAGCGCATAACACTAAAATCGTCAAACGGGTTTGCAACGAACGAATGCCATAATAAAAAGTTGTTCGAGGGACGGGCCGAGGGTCCGGGTGCGGTCGTAGACATAAGCGGAGCGGGGCCCGTAATTTTTTTTATTATTTTTTATTGCTTTCAACCAAGAAGCGTGTAAACAATACGTAACGTAAAGCTTGAGCTAAATATATTCCTTAATAATTACATATTTATACTAATTTATAATATAAGCTATAGGATAGCTATAAGATAGATCCTATAGCTGTAAACTATAGGATATAACACATAATTAAATTAAACATTTATCTAATAAAGAGCGATGAATATTGTTGTCTATTAGTCATCTTGAGTGAGACTAACAAAAACGCATGATTTAGATGAGATGTAGTAAATTTAGTTATTATTATACATAGATAAGTATTATTATAATTTTATTCGTTAATACTAAAAGTATTTCAGTTGTATTACTTTGACTTCCACGAAACAGGCTTTGCCTAGTGTGGGGTCATAGTTATATTGTACAACAGGCTAATTTTGTTTAAGAAAATAAAGTTATTATTATTATTAACGGCAACTCACGTGAAATATATATAAAATTTCTGGATTTTTAAACAAAACAACAAGGATATTATCGACTATGGTACATTTAAATGTAGAACATTATTTGTAATATTACTTCTTAATAGAATACCAAATATTACAAAGATTACTACTTATTTGCAATAATACGGCTCAAAATCAAAGTAGAAGATCAATCAAGAGAATCAAAAACTAGGATACAAATGCTAATTCGCTCTCTTGGTATACTCTGGTGTCAGCCAAGTAGCAAGCTCTGACCACGGACATCTCGATCGTTCGAACTGGCTCTAAAATTGCAACTTTTTGTTCAACGCTCTGGCCATATTATATTTTTTTATTTTACTCTTTCACCAAAATCTATATACCTACTTATACTCCAAGATTACGTTAAAATTAGAAAGGTAAATTTGTTTAGTAATAAAGAGTTATATTTATATTTAAATTTTTAAAATTACCTGGAATATTTGTATTATACTTAGATAACGAGTAGGTAAATTCTTAATCCAGGATATTTGGTCATTACTTGATTGACAGGAAATTCTTAGTCTACTCGTTTAATTTATTCGATGTCTCGTTTGTATACTGGTCTGAGGATTCGAGGTATTAAACCGGTACATAAACCATTATACTTGATGTCCTGGGTTCAGCTCCTGAGTCGAGAAAAACTAAGTAACGGAGATAAACCTATATTGAATAAATATGGGAATAACTGGATTTTACTAATTGACACTCAAATCTAGAGTAGTAACATCTGTAAATCTTTATGTGACCGTGGCTAAGGGTTCGTAATTATATGGCAACGCTAAGATTTGATATCTTGTTTGTATAATATAAGCACGTATCAATAAACTAAAAATATTTAATCGATTTTAAAAATTCTTCCACAAAGAACTAAGCTACATTATAAGCGAGTAACAAGCACAGTGTTTTTTTTAAACTTGCTAGTTGAATAATAATAATAATATATTCATTTATAATATGAATATGTAATTATAAGATGAACTTAAATCGTTAAATAACTATCGATAAAGTACAACAATGGTAATTTGATTTTATAAAATATCTATAGACTATACATTTTCGATTTGTCATAGTATGTTATTATTTTATTCGGTACATTAATTCTTCTTATTTTTATGGTACTATCACAAATAATACGAGGTTTGTCCGGAAAGTACGTATAAAAGTTTTTTAAAAATTTTATTTTACAATTATTCAGGTAAATCAATTTTATCCCCTTCAAAGTACTCCCCCTGTGACATAATGCACTTGTGCCAACGCCGTTTCCACTGTGAGAAGGCTCCTTGAAAGTCCTCTGGTTGTAGGTTTCTCAGCTGCCCCGTCGTAGCTTTTTTTATCTCATTTATGTCCCCCAAATGCCGCCCCCGAAGTACCAATTTGGTTTTTGGGAACAAGAAGAAGTCACACGGGGCCAAATCCGGCGAATAGGGGGGTGTTCGGTCACCGTAATGGAATTTTTACTCAAAAACTCACGGACAACAAGAGAGGTGTGGGCAGGGGCATTGTCGTGGTGAAGAATCCAACGCCCCTCTCGCGCCAATTCTGGACGAACTCGTGCCACACGAGCTTTGAGGCGTCTGAGCACATCGACGTAGAATTTTCCATCAACTGTCTGGCCTGGAGGGACGAATTCTTGATGGACAATCCCCCGAACATCGAAAAAAACAATCAACATTGTCTCGGCCCTCTCTGAATCTTTTTAGCCACTTGTGGACGGTTGGTTCCTTCACAGCATCATCCCCATAAACTGTTCTGAGATCGGCAAAAATTTCACGGCCATTCTTGCCGAGTTTCGAGAGAAACTTGATTACGACGCGCTGCTCTTCAACGGAAGCGGGCTCCATGCCGACGGGGTTTCGTTAAGAGGTAACTTCACAGATGGCGTGACAAGCCAGTTCGCACCGCACGGCGGTCAGACCAGAACTGAAGCATTGTTAGGGACATAAGGAAGGGGTCCTGCGCTTACCTGGCCTCCCCACTCCTCTTTCTCGCATTCCAGAACACTTTTATACGAACTTTCCGGACAGACCTCGTATAATGTTTAATTAATTATTATTTATGTATAACTTCTTTAACAAAAGTATATTATTTTGATTTATGTCGTGGGGTTCAGCCAGCGTTTGCAATGTAAGCGCAAAAAAATGTGTTTATTTACAACATCACATTAGAAACCTCTAAATTTATCAGTGTTCCTCTACAATATTATGCATGTATTATATATATAAACGTTCCTCTTAAGTCACTCTATCTATTAAAAAAACCGCTTCAAAATCCGTTGCGTAGTTTTAAAGATTTAAGCATACATAGGGACGGACAGACAGCGACAGCGACTTTGTTTTATACTATGTAGTGATAAATTACACACTCATGTAACTTGCTGATAAAGTAGCATTCTAGATAAAGAACTTTTCAGAAAATCAGTTATTTTTTAATTTATCATTACAAACAAAAAAAATCAAATCTATCGTTTTTATAAGTTTGTATAGATACTTATATAAAATTTTGAAAGTAGAGTTTAATTTGCAAAAGATTTTTTCAATGCTAGGTTAAATGTTTATTTTTTAAAATACATTTTAACAGTGATAGAATGTAAAATGTAGTTCCATTAAAATATTTAAAGGTAACCTACTTACTAGACTAGACATAACCGTATTTAAGTAGTACTTGATACCTTATGTTATGTTCTAAAAAAGAAACTGAATAACGGGATAATTAATAAGTATTCGGGTTAACACTTAACCCAAAATACCGAAATTGAAGCCTTTTCGGAACTCTTCTAATTTGCCTCTTCCGAGAATTGAACCTGAAAGACAGATAATATATTCTTGGAAACCCATTTGCGAAAGGAACTTAAATTAATAGGTGTCTCTTTCGGCTTATCTAGTCCAAAAATAACTATTATAAAAATATTATTTACTTTTGTTTGTTTAGTTAAATTAATTTTTATCAAAAATAAACCATGATTAAACATAATTATATAATTTCATACATTTGTTTAATTTTGTTGTTATTATGGCACCACACGAATTAGCAAAATATAAAGTCGAATAAAACCGAGGTTTGCCGGGCGCATCCGAATGGAAAACGAATCTCGCTCCAAAACATGAACGTGCTGTTTGATTTGAAAACAAAATCCACCCGCCCGCTGCCGCCGGTTCACGAATCGCCGGCGATCGCAAACTAGATGTATTCAAGTACTCAGTGCGCGAGCAAGCGTGATACGGAATGAACGTGTGGTGCGTCTTGCGCGGACGTTGACTCTGCGATTTATTTTTTTATCTTGCGATTTATACGGCCAGAATTATTAAAACGTTTTGGAGTATACAGTCGAGAAAAAAAGTATTTATTGACAAAGTTGACGTTTATACTATTCGCGAAGAATTTTGACTAACATTGTGAATTTCCGTATAGACGCGAAAATAAGTGAAGACATTTCGAAAACAAAGGACTGTTTTGTACATTTTCGCGACAACTGCGAAATTGTGTTCAAAAATTACTGATCTGGCATTATTGTGGGGGGCACAAAAAAAATCGCAGCCCTCGACCAACTAGTTCGGGCACAATCTGTGGTCGTCAAACGATAAAACAATATCGCAACGAATTTCCTATAATATCACGATTCGTAATTTAGACATTTTTGTAAAATTCTCGTCAACATTTTGGACTTGAAAAAAAATTGCAGTGAGTTTGTCGACCTGTCACAACGTGCTGCAGTGAATCTGTTTGCGAATAACACGAGGAACAAACATCAAAATACCCTGGATTAAGTGTCGAATTAGTTTTACATGATGTCTACTGCCATAATGCATCAGTCTGCGCTGTACGGTTTTGATGATCTGTACTTGAAGGTATGTTTACTTTATTTATTTTTAAATCACCACCAGTAATACAACGTTTTATGCCAAATTGTTCAAATTACTTATAGGTTAAGAAAACAAAACTATCACAAGTAACATTTCGAGTACCTACTCGTAGATAGGCAAATATATAATTCATGCCTTGGTGTACCGTGTGGAGAGAGATTGTTATTAATGGGGACATTAATCCCCATTGCTAGCAATATATGGTATATTGCTAGCAGTGGGGTCAGATCGACTATTGTGATTAATTCTTGTTAATTCCGTCATAATGGGCTAATTGATCTGGTTTCATTCTCACCTATCATCACTCATTGGTGTCCCTCCAGTCGTATCGATGATAGCACAGGCGGGGTTGCTATTCCATTATTCTCTATTAAGAATCTTGCTGTAGGAAATTATCTGTCTAATCACTGTAAAACAAATAAATTTTAGCCGTTGAAATTTTAAATGTTTACCTAAGGGTAGGTTTTTGTTTCATATTAAACATTAAAAGATAGGTTGGTAAGTATATGTATCGGCTATTAAATACCTAGTAGGTATAATGTGGCACCAAAACAATATTATGTCATAATAATATACCTACTATGTTACAGTCATACAGCTATCTAATCACAGTACATATATTTATATACGTACTTACTACCTACTTCGCTGCAGGTAAACATTAGTTTCGTGTCAATAAAAATAATTTATTAATACTGTTATTTCCTTCTTTATCTAGTAATATCTTTGGGTAAAAAAAATATATTTGAATTTAATTTTTACTTATCTGTCGATTTAGAAATAACTGGACACGAATTTAAAAAAAAGATACCAAAAAAATTTTTAAAGTTAATTTTTATTTTAACTGTGATTATAACTAATTTTTAAAAAGATATATTGGCATTGGTAGCTATCGCTTTATTAATTTATCTACCTATCTAATACCTACCGTATCTAATAAAATGAATCGTTAAATGTGTTGCTAAGCGCAAAACTCGAGAACTGCTGGTCTAATTCGGCATTTTTTTTTAAATATTAGTTGTACTTTAGCTAGATTTTTATCATGCGAGAAATTGAAGAAAATTCGATGAAATCTGTAGAAAATCTATTTTTCTTTTTTCCATGCATATTGTTCCTAAGGGCTTTTGATAGAAAAAAATGTGTCGGGTCAGTTAGTTCTATTATTATTGTATTAATTATAACGATTAATTAATATTGTGCTAATTATTACAGTTAAAAATTAATTATATACTATTAATATAATAAGTGCTTGAACGAATAAAAGTATGTTTGTTTGTTAATCTTTCACGCTAAAAATATTTAACAAAATTGAATAAAATTTATTAGACCGTTAGATTATACCTATCCAAACTTTGGCACATAGATATTATAGTACTTTATGTATTGATTCACGGGACGAAGCTGCGGGATACAGCTGGTTTAAAATAAACAAAAACGTTATAGGTATATAGGTAATATGTCACACTGACCTATGATCAATTTACATCTGTAAAATCTTTTTATTTTAGCTGTTTATTAATTTAATAGACTTCTATAGTGCACAAAATTATGTAATGTAATGGGCTACTAATCATTGAACACAAACATTTTTACGTGACAATATATTTTGTTACCAGTTGTACTTTGCCTACGTGAATAGTATTGTATGAAAGCATCCCATCTGAGTGTTAATTTAGGATATGGTCAAATTGTGTACAAAATTTTATTCAAATTGTTACAGCCGTCAAAATAAATTTATTCTATTATTCTAAACATCTTTTAAATTTTTAACATTATCCTTATCCATCGCTGGAACCCTATTATTTTTACTTATTAAAAAATACAAATTGTCACAAAATCAATACAGCTATTTTAGGTAGGAGGTATATCTCTCATTTGTTACATTAACACACTAAGGAAAGGGGAAAATAATATGTAATCTGTCATTCATATAGATATAAGTACTCGTTTACTTATCATCGCTAAATATTGGATTAACGATACCATGGCTATGGGTCTTGGTACAGGGCTTTATTTCGAGTTTTCTCTTTCTTGCGTCTTGAATATTGTGCTCTTAGTCGTCTGCGACATTCTGATGATAAAAAGGAGTAGTACCATATTGTATTCTTATACCACTGTCATCACACGGACAATGCCCTCTGCCCATGGCTTTCTGCCCAAGTTATGTATAAATACAAATCCATCTATACACTATACATCATGACAACTGATTACGCAGGCATTTGTAGGTGGGGGCAACAATTTTTTAACTCCATTGAAGTAAAATCTAATGCTCCGAAATGTTAAGCAATTGTTGAATGTTAATATTAGTACCTAACTAATGTTTAGAAAGCAATTCCAAAATACCTAGATACGATACCTTCGTAGATATGTACGACGTGATCAGTGAAATATCATTAGTCAATTGCCAATTATTTTTTACTTGTACGTGTCTTCGATTGTGTTCAAGATTTGTTTTACTCGGTATTTCGAAGGACAATGGAAAATTTTAATATGCCTTATAAAAATAGTAATAATTGAAATCTATCATTTTCCATTTATTTCAAAAAAGATACTCTTGGAGTTTGTCTGAGGTATTGATTCCAAAATTAATATAAAAAATGAATTTTGGAAAGACAAACTGCCTTAGAACTCTAAGCTGCTGTAGAACTGATAAACGTGTTCTAGAGAGGAGGCCATGAATTAGCATATGTAGTAGGAGGATCTGCAGCTGGATGAATGACTACGTATAGGCTGCAAATAATGAGAGCCGAAGATAGCGCTCAGTGGTATGTTTTAAGAAAGCCATATATCTAGGAGTGGACGGCAATTGGTTCATTATAATGATGATAATGAGTTTCCATTTGAGGTTAACGTGATTAGGTTCTTATACGAATAACGAAATGTTATTAACAGATTGTTATATATTAATTCATCGTCGTAATATTAGTCATACTATCTCAGGCTACGAATCTCGTGTCTCATTTCGACATTATAATAGTATCTTGTTTCAAATCGTGTATGTTTTAATTAGAATATTGTTTCTAATTGGCTGCGTTGTTTATTATTATAATTTTATGTAGCTGCGCCGTTGATTTCGCTCGTATGGTAATCTAAATGAATTCAACATGATTATTTGGTACTGACATCATCTAGGTGATTTTTCCGTAAATATGATTATCTAAATTAACAATGACCTTAACGTTGTACACAATTTTATGTGATGGAGGGGTCAAATCGTATCGCATACTAATTTGACTGATTCTAATAAAATGTACACAGTTTAAATGCGTCTTCAAATAAACTACGCCACTACGAACTACGAACAATGTGTACTACACCAATCCTAATTTTGATAACTCTTTTTTAAATCGACAGAATTTACTCCTATACTGTTAAAATAAAATACGTGTTCAGGGCTTTTTTTATGGAGCTTCAATTAAATTTCTTTAGTATTATCTATTATAGGTTATCTGATATGTAATTCAATAAGTAAAGAAAGAAATTCCAACTTGTCTGTAGTGAAGTCATTCAAATTCTATTGAGCTTGCTTGCTATTCTGATCCTTTTTACGTTCACGGAATAAAATATTACATACGTAGTAGGTGCTTATAAACACAATGGAAAAGTATAAACTGTATATTTATTATAATACATATGAACATGTACTTTGTTCGTATCTGAAGTAATGTCTAGAATATTAATATTTTGGGTTAACCTATGACTCGTATATACTCGTCAATACTTATTTCTCAGTTACTAACTTCTAACGTGATTTTTGTCCAATTTGCCAAAACTAATTTGTGAAAATTAATCGTCATTGCTAGCAACTTATTGGGTCGACCTCCACGCAGTTCTCCTTGGAAACCATCATCCGTAAATTACTAGTGATTTTGCCATGGTGTATCATCACTCAATAATAATGGTAATGGAATAGTATTCCATTTTCACTCTTCTAAAGAAAAAATGTTTTGAATGTCTAAAGAGGTACACGCCCAAATTAGTATCATAAATACCTGATTTACATTTGTATTAATCGGTGATTAAATGCATTTTTGATTGTGTATCTATTTTGATTTTTAACGATTTTAGGAAAGATCTTCGATTCGATAGTATATTTTTTCCTGTTTGTGTACGCTATTTAAAAAAAAGTGAATCTATTTAAATTATTTCTATTTTACTATACCACCATCGTTTTTTATTATTAGACATGTACTATAGCAATAATAATTACATAATTTAGAAAAAGTTTGTTGTCGCTATACTGTAAAAACCATGTATCTGGGAAACTACGGAACGAGTCGTCAGTAATAGTATAGATAGTTATGACACGGGAAATAAGCAAAACCAGTTGCAGTTGCGTGTACTGCCTGCAGGCAAACTAAGTATTCCAGTGCAGGAGCAAATTCTCGTGTCTAAGTATTACTTAGCGCAAACTGGTAAATAACTAACTTACCTACTGTTTACATAATTTACCAGCCGTTCCCAAGGAAATAGGAAGGAGTTAGATAGAATTAGTATATTTGTATAGTCTTTACATGTTATTTATCCAAAGAGTACCTACATCAGGACTCTAATTCGTAACTTTAGACTTATGACATTTACTAAAAAGTTAACTAAGACCACAAATAACCGTTCTTGTACTATGGAAATTATAATTACGACTTTGTCATATGATGTTTGATAATATCGTCGATAGCTTATTCCATAATATATACCAGGTATAGAATTAATTTGTTTAATTTATTTTAGACACTTTTGCTTTGAAAAAAGGATAAGAAGGTGTACATTAAAGTCTAGGAATGTTGCTAAGGATTCATTTAAAGTAACTTGGTATAAGTTGCGCATAAATCTACCCTACAAATTTTGCTGATAAAACAAATACTTACGTCTTAGTTTTGCTATTATTAATTATTAATATTTTGCTTGTCAATTTAATTTAGAATAGCTGAATATTATTAGTTTGAAAATTGATAGATGCATGAATAGATAAAGCGAATGTTTCG